CCTGAATTGCTGCTGGTTCTGTCATTGGGCGAGGCGGAAGGACACCTGAGGGAACCCGTGGGGGCCTATAGAGCCTAGGGCCCCTCGTCGGCCCTAGGCCGTCTCCATCCTCCTAATTAGAGCAAAACGAGAGGGCGAAACACTAGGCTCAACCCTCCCCACCTGCAACTATATACGTAGTGCATGCTTAGAAGACGCTCAGGGCACACTTTGTATGTAGAAGTATGCGCATCGCGTGCTCACTGCGCCGTTCTACACGACATACGTGCACGTGTGAAACATTGAACGTGATGCTGCTATTCTATAGTGCCAGTGCCGCCACGCTCAAGAGTCTCAGAGAGCAAGAATCCTTGCCGTAGGTGTCGTGGCTGCCACTTCGCCATGGCAGTGAGAGCAGAGCTCGATCTTGATGGACAGAGCCCAATGTAACTCACAACACAGCTGCCGCCCCCAACGTGAGGTCGCGGTTGCGGAACAGATGGCACATGAAGGCAAAGAAAAGGAATAGTATGCTGTAGTCTGTACCCAGACGTGGCTGATGAGAGATGTATTGGTAATCGCGTACTGGAAGAATCTGCTGAAGCCAATAGAACTGCATGTCAAACAGCGGCAGGGCAGAAGTGGCTTTCCGTATGTCGGTGGCCCATGCGCTTCAGCATGTCCTTGCTCGCTGACTTTCCGCTGGCGGCCTGTCTTCGCATACCTTCCACGTGTACTGCATCTCCGCCAGACCGCAGGAACGGTTTGACCACTGTGAATTTCGGAGCCCAAACTGCACGCGAGTGTGGTTCGGCAAGTTCACCTGCGTCATGTCCTCGTCCTTCATTGCGGCACGCCCAGTTCCGTTGAGCATCAGAATATCGACGGTCGGCTTGAGATTCGATATTTCTTCCAGATGGGTGTGATCAGCCCATTCAACATTATATGCCAAAACTCTCAATACCATGGCGAAGACGATTCCTGCGGGTGGAGGGAAGGAAGAGTAGGTACTGCAGGCCAGCCTAGGCCTGCCGCCCCGCATGTTAGTGACCTCCACCCATGGGTTGTACGGTGTGGTAGGTGTGGTGGGAGCCCCTGCTGTGCTGAGAGCCACAGCAGCTCCTAGGAGGAGGAGGAGGAGGAGGCGGAGGAGGAGGAGGAGGAGGAGGAGGAGGAAGTCCACCCTAGAAAATTGCGAACGTTGTCTTACTCGGCGTCTCGACATTGGGCAGAAGGGGCGGGGGTCCGGCTCTGGACCTCTGCCTGACGCGACTGCTGGCAGCAGTGCGTCCTGTGCAGGAGACTCCACCTGCTCGAAACAGGCGCCAAACAACAGCCAGGATCTACTCGATGGGGGGGAGGGGATGCGAGGGCCCACGACGATCGGCAAAACAAAAAATAGGATAACGATCGCCATTCCCCGTGCCTGTTTTCATGTCGTAAGTGCGTGGGCTGGCTCGATGGTCCAAGATGCACCTCGATGGATTTCGCCCAAAGCAAATGCGCACGCCCGGGCGATGCCAAGATATTTCTGACTATCCAACAGACCACCACAATCCAACCCGAAAACCCAGCATTCGGGTTGGGGGGGTGGAGATTCCACATGGACATTTGCACAATTTTCCCTGAAGCCCACCCCACCGGGAATGGAAGGCAAATTCGGGCCTTCGGGTTGGGTTGGTGTGGTTTGGTGGGTGGTGAATTTCGGAGCCTTGATTTTACCCCCCGAACGCTTGTCAAACTCGCTTCGTCGGCGCACCACGCCAGGGGCTCAAGCCCTCTCGGCGCGCGCCAGTTGTCCGCAGCGGGCGTCGAGCTGGGGCCGCTGAAGGCGTGGCGCCTCCCTTCTGGCATGGAAGGTTTGCTCTAGGGTTTTTTGGGTTGGGTCTGGTTGTTTTCTGGGTTGCTTCTGTGTTGTTTTTCTGGGTTGCTTCTTTGTTGTTCGGTTGTTTCTGTTTGTTTTCTCCGTTTTTCCATAATCAGAGCTTGCCTCTGTAGGGTTCCTGGCAGATTCTGACGGTTAGGTGAACTTTGCCACCGATTCCCGCGGCCCGCCGGGGTGCCCGGGTGCCCGGGCGCATGGGTGCCCAGGTGCCCGGGTGCCTTATAGCCCTATAGCCCTACAGCCCTATAGCGCTATAGCGCCCTATAGCCCTATAGCCCTATACCCGTATAGCCCCATAGCCAACTAGCCCTACAGCCCCGTGGCCCTATAGCCCTATGGCCTCAGAGCCTTATAGCCCTACATCTATATAGCCTTACAGCAATAGCACTATAGCCCCATAGCCTTATAGCCCTATAGCCCTATGGCCCTATAGCCCTACAGCCTTCTAGCCTTATAGCCCTATCGCGCTATAGCCCTATAAACATGTAGCTCTATATGCCTATAGCCCAATGGCCCTAGAGCCCTATCGCCCTATCACCTTGTAGCCCTATAGCCTATAGCCCTATAGACCTATAAGCCTATAGCCCTATTGCCCTGTCGCCCTATAGCCCTATAGACCTAGCCCTATGGCCCTATAGCCCCAGAGCCCTGTAGCGCCACAGCCCTACAGCCCTATAGCCCTATGGCTCTATAGCCTTATAGCCCTAAAGACCTCTAGCCCTATGGTCCTATAGCCCTACAGCCATATATCCCCATAGCCCTACAAATATGTTGATTGGGTTTTCTCAGGTACCATGTATGTTTTTGCTCGTGCTTTTTTGCTGTGTAATCGGCAGCGCCAGTGGGCGCGGGCGTGGGTACCGCTTCAGGCAGGGCATGCCTGGAGCGGGCGGCGGGATCGGGCAGACCCCAGAGGAGCAAGCTGGCTTTGTTGGACTCGCAAATTCGGGCGCGGCGCGCAGCCGCGGGCGCCCGGACCAGCAGAGCCCAACCCCGGCACCTTGGGGGGCTGCGCGATCCGCTGCGCCGCCAGGCGCGAACACGCCGCTGCTGGGCAGCCCCTGGCGCAGGTTACCAGCCTGGAACATATCCCTATCCCTATGTTCGACATCGCCTCATCACGATGCCAATCTCAGGGAGTCCCGTATTTTTTGAGGGCGAATCCCTAAGATTGTCATCGCCGTTTGGCGTGTCAATCTTAGGGATAGGGATACGTTCGAGGCTGGTAAGCAGGGCAAGTCGCCCAGAAGCAGGGCTGCGTGGCACCGCGCCATCAGACGCTCCTGCCACCCGGGGCGCGCGCCTCCGAGCAACCTCTGCCGCGGACGCCGCGCCGCGGCCGCAGCGGAGGCAGCCAACGCGCCCGCGCCCCAGGCCATGGGGCCACCGTGGTCGGCCAGCGAAGAACGTGGCCAACACCTCCCACCTGCTCCCGAACGATGTGAACCCCACCCTCAGAAATCGTGGGGGGTAGGGGCAGGGCTCGCATGTGGACCCCTACCCTGCTTACGGGCGCCTCAGCACCGCTCCGGCGCGGGCCGGGCGCCAGAGGCGGCCGGGCGGCGGAGGCGCCAGCCGCTGGGGCAGACGCGGTGCGCGCCCGAGCTCCGCGGCGGCTCCCACGCCAGTCGCGCCGCCGGCGGCGCGCGGCGGGCGGCGCTGCCGCCAAGCCTGCTGCGCGGCTGCAGTGGCGCGCTGCGCAGCATCGGGTAGCTCGACCCCCAGCGGCGCGAGCGCACCGAGCTCGGGAGGCCGCGCACCCCACAGGAACAAAACAGCACTGCGCAAGCATGACTCGTCGGAGGTCCGCGCGGAGTCCTGCGGTCGGCGCTGCAAAGCCATTTCCCCCCCCTGGCGCTGCTGGGGACCGTTGGGAACCTCCGAAAGTTGTATGTTCATGCTGTTTCTGGTTCCTCGGAAGCCCTTGCTGGCGAACTTCTTCCGTGGTGCAAGGGCATGCGTGTATCCAGGCTCTGGCGTTTGCCGTCGCTCGGACGTCCATTCCCAAGGTATTTGTCAGTATCGCTCAGTTTTCGTTGGATGATCCAAGATGCTTCGAGATGGTTAAGATCTTCTGGCGCCAGCCTCGACGACAAAAATGTAAATGTCCGAGTCATGCCAAAGGCACCTGGCCCGCCCAGAGGAAGGCCCAGGAGGCGAGCGAGGGGGGCAGCCGCAGTACCTTCGATACGTTGTGCATCCCAACCCATATTGTCGATCCAAGTTGGGCAGCGTAACGAGAGCGTACATCTATGTGTGTATATATATGTATGAAAAGAAGCACAAACACAACCAACAAAAACGTCGTCAATGCCTGCACTCGTCAACACCCTTGCTACGTGCTCGCAGCTAAGAAGGGACGAAGGTGTGCGCAGGCGGAGCACCCTGTCGCAACACGACGAGCTCCTCTTCTTCGCCGACCTAGCCCCGAGTGGCCCTGAGCCATCCTCGAAACCCACTTACCAGAATCATGGAAAGATGTCAAGACGGCAGACGTAACCAGAGGATTCAATTGTGTTGGCGCTGGACCCCTTCCCAACATCCTTTCCCCAGCGCGCGGAGCGCGCTGGGAGTGGCGGGCGGGGAGCGGGTCCAGCGCCGACCCAAGGGATCTGAGCGGACCTCTGACAATTATGTGTGCAGCATTGCAGGAGAGCCCAGAATCGAATCGATGACGAATCGGCGATCGAAATGAATCGGATCGGCGGAAATCGGCAGCCGAGTCGGGAAACGTCGAATCGGCAGAACTCGGCAGGCTAAAAGGCCTCCCGTGAGAAACCGGAGCCCCGATCGAAGAATCCGAAACCGAACCGAACCGTGATCGGGACCCATCGGCATTGAAGCCAATGGACTCGGAGGCCTCGAATGACGAACCAACAACACACACCCATATATCCATAGGGGGTTCGGAGAGGGCTATGGGTGCGTGTTGTCGGATGGGGTTCCCCGCTCGAACGGGAGCGTTCCCCAGGGTCCGACAACCCGCACCCATACCCATAGCCAGCCCTCCTCCCAACGACCCCCCTATGGGTATGGGTGTGTGTTGTCCGTTCGTCATCGAAGCGGGCCCCGGCACTGTGCCCACGGGCAGCTGTCACCTCCGCCCTCCGCGAGTCCCAGGGAGGCTCGCCGCCGCCTCGTGGTAGGGCTGTGCCCCGCAGAGCAGGCACGACTCCTCCTCGCACCTCGGCAGCTCCCCCCGATCCCGGCGGGCGCGGCAGCATCGCGCGAGGCACCAGTCGGGCCGGACACCAAGCCGTCCAGCCGAGCGCCGTCCACGCCAACCAGGCCCTGAAAGCCGACCGAGAAGGTACTGTCCTCCTCCGCCTCCTCCTCCTCCTCCTCCTCCTCCTCCTCCTCCCCCTCCCCCTCCCCCTCCTCCTCCTCCTCCTCCTCCTGCTCCTCCTCCTCCTCCTCCTCTTCCTCCTCCTCCTCCTCCTCCTCCTCCTCCTCCTCCTCGCGAACATGCCAACCAGAGCCTTGGACTCCATCGTTCTGCGGATCTGTTGACCCCGATCGATCTGTGTCCAAGGGCCCGAATCTGAGCAAAAACACTTAGTGAAAGACGCGACGCCGAGACCTCAGGGACGGGCCCAACGAGCTCCAGGCCCAGAAATCCGGCGCTCTTTGAGGCCTGGACATGGGCACCAACACCAACACAGGGGGGTGCCTCCACTGGGGGAAGACGATCCGGTGGTAATCTTTCGGCCGCCTAGGAAGCCAGAATATTGCCACTATCACCGAGATCGGGCCACTCTTCCCTCGGTGGAAGCACGCCGCCGATATTGGTGTTGGTGTCAAACTCGAGGCCTCTGGCGCTCCAAATTTCTTCGATGCGTGGAACTACAAGGGTCTGGAAAACGTCCCTATAGGGACAGTTGTGCGTCCAGAGGCCGTTCTCGACGGTCCCACGGGGCCTGACTAGGGCTGACAGAGGCAGACAAAAGCGGTCAAAAAAACTTGCCGCTCCATTTTTGGGGGGGGAACCTCGGATCTTTGTCGGGAGCGTCGGAGTCCAGACGGAATTAGCCCAACCGCAGACCGAGCCCTCCCTGTGGACTCACTCCGTGTTTCGGGAGCACTCAGATCTTTGTCAGGAGAGTCCAATTCCAGACGGAACAAGCCCAGACGGAGACCGAGCTCTCCCTATGGACTTGGCCTCCCCTGGTTCGGGAGGTGATCCCGTAGCCGGCCGGAACTGGGCCGCGCACACGGGGCAGGTCTGCCGGTCGGAGGCGCAGTCGTGGAAGCGCCACGTGCAGTTCGGGGTGGGGCACGCGCGTGCGCCAGACGCGACGGCCTGGCGCGGGATAGGCAGGACAACACAACGAGCACGCGACGCAATCCCACCAGCCCTATAGGCGACAGGTGGTCTAACGAGGGTCTCTTTCCTCTTCCACAACCCCTCTTCTGTTCGGGGAGGGGAACCATCCCCCTCCCCTTCCTCAAGTTTTTCGGGATGGGGTCGCGACGAGGTAGAGCGTCCATTTTCGGCCCCTGGGAGGGCCATTTTTTGCCACCCGTCACGGGGATCGTGGCCCCCGAGGGGGGGGCGGAGATGAAGGAACCCCTCTTTTGATCGATCGCCTCCAAGATGGCCCTAAGAGGGCCTCCAGGGTTCCCAAAAGAGCCCCAAGAAGGCCCAAAGAGCGCCCCAAGAGGCCCCAAGAGGCCTCCAAGAGGCATCCGGAAAGGCCCCCCAAACCTCCCTGAGCGGCCTCAGAGAGCCCAAGATGACCTCCAGGATGGCTCAAGACCGCTCCAAGACGGCTCGAGATGGCCACGGAGCCTCCCAAGCGTCCCTCGCTGTTTGACTATGCGTGGTTCTGCCTCTCTCCCCCCGTCCGTTCTCATGGGTATCGTTTCTCGATGGGCTGGTGGGGATATTTTTTTGTTAGCAGCCGAAGGCGAGCGCGCCAACGGCGAGTGAGACCGGTGGGGATATTTTTTTGGTCGCGGCCGCAAGCGAAGGCGCAGGCGGCGGGTCGGTAAGTCCGGGGCGCGGTCCGTACTAATTTACAGCGAGCAGCAAACTAGAGCGCGACTGGTGGGGATACGCGAAGAGTCAAGAATTGCTTAAGTCTTACATCCTTCCCTCCGAAGAACACCCGGAGAGCGCGGCACAGTCTGCATGTTCGGCTGTACATCTACGACGACGGGTGGCGTAGAGGAGACAAGCAGCGAGGACGCTCTGGAATGATGCACAATCACGCACTCGCAACTGACGGCCGCGCGTGCGTGCGCATGCTGGGGTTCCTCGAAGATGACCTACGTAGATGACACGAGATGGTCTCCAATACAGTCCCAAGACGCCTCCACGATGGCCCAAATACCCAGGGCATTTACCACGTGACTTGTCAGAAAGCCAGGTTGGCACGGCCCCAAGGAGACCTTCAAGAAATCACCAAGAGGCGAAAACCGTCAAAACAATACCTATATATATATACACACACGTATGCTCGTATACGTTTGTTGACGTTCGCCTTCTAGCTGTCAGGATTCAGCACGCCCAGACAGCTCCAGGGCCCTCCAAGATCGCCGCAAAAGAACACGAAAGGGTTCCCAGACAGCCACACTATGCCCAAGCTTGCCTCCCATGACGGCCCAAGATGGGCTCCAGGACAGCCAAGATGGTC